AATTGGGATGGGAGTGTCAGAGACAGCGCGATTGGCACAGGACAGAGCGGAGTTTAGGGCTGTTGTACATAGGGTCGCTATGAGTCGCAGGCGACTCGACAGCACATAACAACAACAACAACAACAATCAATTATATGCCTAATTACTTATGGAAACTTGCAATGTTGTTAAAAGTACAAACATTAATGGGCATGAGGACAGTGATTACTTTGGGAGACACAGAGAAGAAACAAGTGTGCATATATATATGAGAAGGGGAGGTAGGTAGGCTTTCTAACTGTTCTCTGTAATGGGTTTCTTTTATTTTTTGAGATTTCTAAAACAACTTGAATAACTTTTAGCATCTGTTAAGTCCAGGTGCTGGTAACATGGCTTTTATAATATTGTCTTTATTATCAGTGTTTAAACTATGAAAGAATTCAACAGTATTGTATTGTTCTAGAATCTATTCTCAATATTACCCATAATTTATTTATTCACACAGTTGAAAGCTTACTTAACACTAAACATACCAAGAGAGAAAACAAACAATTCCATATACTAGTACAGAACAAAAAATCTGATGATGGAAAAAGGTAAACTGATTCTCAGATAAGTAATATTCAAAATGAACTGCTATCGAGAAACTTAGAAGAGGGAAAGAACTTTGGGTTAAAGGTTTGCAGAAAGCTTCATGGAAAAGCTAGCTGGTTTGAAATGGGGTCTTGAAAGCTGGCTGACATTTGGATGGTGATGGAAAGTGAATTTCATGCCAGCAATGAAAATGCAATTTTGAAAGTATGGCGGTCGCCAATGACAGGTATCTTGAAAGGTCAGCAGGGTGTTTGAATGGACTCTGCAGTCATGGTTCAGGATGGATAGCTGATTGGAGCAACACTCTGATAAGTCCTAAGTTTCTTCCCATCTGGGCCATTCTCGTGCTTCCACCTGCCAGGCAAGGAGCAGCCTCCAGAAGGCCTCTCAGGCCTCTTGAGGATCCTGGATCTTACTTGGTAGAGCGAACATGGCCAGTTGTCAGAATGCTTTTCTTAGCCAAGCATTGACACAATCCAGGCTGTTAGTTAGGCTTATTCATTTGGCAACATCAACCAGAATGGACAGAAGGAGAGAGCTGGAGACAGAAGAAACTAATAAGAGGCCAAAGTCATTGTGAAAATGTGTGAAGCAATGGCCTGAACTAGGACTATAACCCTGGGAATGACAAGAAGGGGAAAAAATGAAAATACAAAGAAATGAAATGACAGCTTGGCAAGTGTTGCTCCTAGAGGCCAAGGAGACACTGAAGAAGGCTCCAAGGTCAGTGGTAGCATTCTAACCTCCGTGTAGGAGACATGTGTTCCATTCCCAGCCAGTGCACGTCATTTGTACCCACCATCTATTTGTCAATAGAGACTTGCATGTTGCTGTGACGCTGGACCAATTTTAGTAGAACTTCAGACTGAGAAACACTAGGAAGAAAGACCTGGTGATCTACTTCTGAAGATCAACTGATGAAGACTCTGTAAATCACAATGGTCAGTTAGAGGATGGTGCATGGGGTCCCCACAAGCAGGGACCCACACATCAGCTGCTAATAACAATGAAGAGAATAAGTGGAGTTGGGAGGGGCAGTAGCTTTGAGAAGATTAGAAGATCCTTTGTTTAAAGTTTGAGCCTGATGTAACATCTACATGGACAGTTCATTAAGTGGGAAATTCAAGACAGGCAGCTTGGGAGGCAAGTCAGAGCTGCAGATTAAAATTTGTAGTAGTTTGAAGCCATGGGATTATGCATGGTTTCAGAGAGAAATGATAGAGAATCAGGACCTGAAAGGCCTAGTCATAGGATGAAAGGAGTTTGAAAGTAGAAGGAATTTGAGAGAAAGAGTAAGACCTTTGAACCTTTGGCAGTTACCAACCCATCAATCATTCCAGGATAGTTGCAAATAGTCTCTAGCTTTCAGACCTGGCTAATTGCAATCCCCAGGATCTGGAGTATTTGTCAAGCTATAATTCTCTCAACTGTCATTTGATCGGTTCCCTCATTTCCCATCGACAGTTATACCTTGTTTTATTATGCTTTGCTTTCTTGAACTTCACAGATAATTGTTGTTTTAAAAAATTAAATGAAAGTTGGTAGCAGTCCTGTGTCAGGCAAGCCCTTTGTCACCATTTTTCCAACAGTATGTACTCATTTCGTGGCTCTGTATCACATTTTGAGAAGTTTCACACTATTTCCTAAGGCTTTTGCACACTTCTGGTATACTTTCCTAAGACTTTTACACACTATAATACACTATAAACATAATTTTTATGTGCATTAGGAAACCAGAAGATTTGTCTGACCCTTTATGGCAATACTCACTTTACTACAGTAGTCTGGAACCAAACCTTCAATAGTTCCCAAGTATGCCTGTATCTTTAAGTAACCCATAAAATCAAGTGGATCTTTCTCTGCCACCCCACAGCACATTTCTTACGCCTCTTTTAGCCATTAAATGATTATGCCCAAAGGCAATTCTGGCATGACATGCCTGGGTTTACATCTGGGCTCCATCAATTATTGTCTGTGACCTTGAACCAGTGACTAACTCTGCCACATTTAATTCCGTTTATATCCCAGAGCCTAGCATAGTGAGTAATGCAATATTTGAGTTGGAACAGGTTTCACAAAACACCTAGCTGCAAGTGTCATTCCTGCTTGGTGTCTCTATTCTTATTCTGTCCGCCTCATGGTATTTGCAGCAAAAAAGACAGGGGCTAATGTTTAAAAGGTAGAGCAGTAAAGAGAGACATGAGGTAGTAACTGGAGGAAGCAGTAAAAGGCTTTTCTGGATAGTGGACACCTTTATGTGATGGACAAAGGGAAGAAGGGACCATTAAGTGCCAGAAGAGAAGGAATTCTCATAGAGATGGTAACTGACGTGGGCAGAGATGATTGAAATGCTAAGTACCAAAGGAAGGTGTTTGACCTTTTTTTCATGAAAAAAAGATATTTTTAATGTCTTTGGAAGCAATAAAAATCTGTTTACATTCCAATTAATGGTAATTAGTAGAAAAAGCCATCAGGCCAAACATTGTTTCAACTGCTCTGTGATGCAGTCATTGATGTTTTCATGTATATGTTCTTATATTGTACATATATCCCTGAAAAAGATCTTTAACAAATTCCTTTCACTCAGATGGTTCTATCTAGAATTCTATTAAAAAGCTTCTGAGGAGTTAAATGTGGTACTGAACTTACCTGAAATACAGCCTAGTTTAGTCAGACAAAATTTTTTTAGAAATTATAGAAATATTGCCTTAATATTAGAGTGAACTCCGGAATTTCTTTATCCCCTTTTTGGTGGCAAGACACAGAAATTAAAAAAAAAATCATTTACCTTCATGTGCATTGGAAAAGGACATCTTGCTTGGAAAGGTAGAGGGTCAGCACAGGAGAGGAAGACCCTAGATAAGATGGATTGACACAGGGAGTGTGGCAAAGGGGGCAAGTGTGTCAGAAATGGTGAAGTTGGCTAAGGACAGAACAAAGTTCAGAGCCAGTGTTTGTTTGGTTGCTCTGGGTCCTAGTTAACTCAGTGGCACACAATAACAATACGTGCATATCAGTGGTACTGGTTACATAGTTCACAATGTGTCACAATTTTATTGCTACTGATATTGCAACATCATCATTAATTTGGACTCTGCCCCTAAAGGTTCTCACCTATACTTTACATGACCCTATTTATGTTTGAAATGGAACTCATGTAGATAATGATAAGAGTACAATGTTCAAGGTAAATACTCTTTATTAATAGGGCCAAACTGTTGTTTAGTTTGTTATTGTTATGTGCAGTCTAGTTGCCTGCGACACATAGTGACCCTTTGTACAACAGCCCTAAACCAGCTCTATCCCTTGCCAATCTTATTGTCTCTCACACACTTATCACCATTACCCCAGTGACTGAATCAATCCATTTCATCGAGGGTCTTCCTCTCCTGCACTGTCCCTCCACCCTCCCAAGCATGACGTCCATCTCCAGGGACTGATCCCACATTGCAGCATGTCCAAAGTATGTCAGACGAACTTTCAATATCCTTGCCTCCAAGGAGTGGCCTGACTTTACCCTCTCCAGGAAGAACCTGTTTGTTCTCCTAGCAGTTCCTGCTATATTCAAAACTCTTCTCCAGCACCACAGCTCAAAGACATCAACTCTCCTTCTATTATGCCTAGTCATTGTCCATCTTTCTAATGCATAGCAAGTAATTGCAAAGATAATGGCCTGTATCAGGTGCACCTGCGTCTCCAGGCTGACATCATTGCTCTTCAGTACTTTGGAGAGGTCTCTGACAGCAGACTTTCCCAATGCATGCAGTTCATCTTTTAATTTCCTGGCTGCTGGTACCAAGAGTGATGATTGTAGAGCCAAACAAACTGAAGCTGTCAATCTCAATCTCTTCACCATCTATCATGATGCTGCCAATTGGCCCAGAGGTGAGAATCTTTGTTTTCTTGATGTTGAGCTTCAATACATATTGAAGGCTGCAGTCCTTGACCTTCTGCAGCAAGCACTTCAGGACCTCCTCAGTTTCAGCAAGCAGAGTTGTGTAATCTGCATAATGCAGATCATTGATGACTCTACCTCCAATCCTGATGCCACACTTCTCATAGAGCCCAACCTCCTGGATAATCTTTTCCCCATATAGATTGAAAAGATATGGAAATAGGACACATTCTTGATGCACACCCTTTCCAGTTTTGAACCATGCAGTGTTTTCTTGCTTTGTTCTGAAGACTGCCTCCTGGTTCAGGTATAGGTTTTGCATAAATACAATCAGGTGTTCTGGGATTCCCATTCTTCTCAGAGTCAGCCACAGTTTGTTGTGATCCACACAGTCAAATACCTTTACAGAGTCAATGAAACACAGATAGACATTCCTCTGGTACTCTCTGCTTTTAGCCAAGATCCATCTGACATTAGCTATAACATCCCTAGTGCCATGGCCTCTTCTAAATCCAGCATGCACTTCAGGCAGTTCTCTGTTGATGTGCTGTTCCAGTCATTTTTTTTATAATCTTCAGCAGAATGTTGCTTGCATGTGATATCAATGATACTGTTCAATAATTTTCACACTCTGTAGGATCACCTTTCTTTGGAATGGGAACAAAGATCTCTTTGAGAGATCTTGGCCAGGTGATTGTCCTCCAGATTTCTTGGCATTACTTGGAGAGCACATCCAGGGCAGTGTCTGTGTTGAAATATGTCAATTGGTATGCAATCAATTCCTGGGACCTTATTTTTTGCCAATTCTTTCAGAGCAGCTTGAACTTCTTTCTTCATCACCACAGGCTCTTACTCATACATTGTTTCATGGTTCTTCTGTGTCCACCAATTCCTTTTGGTACAATGACTCTGTATACTCTTTCAATCTTCTTTAATGCTTCCTGGATCATTTAATATTCTGCCCAAAGCATGCTTAAGTATTGCAAGTCAAGGTTTTAATTTGTTCTTCAGTTCCTTGAGCTTAAGTTCTCAGAGTTGGTCTGGTTGCAGGCAGGAGTAGACACTGTGTCTGCAGGGGTAGAAGAGACTGCTGGTTGCTTTAAGGTATCTTTAGAAGTTGACTTTGGCTCCGGGCTCCGGCTGCAGCGTCAGCCTTGCTCGGGCCTCGGCGGCGGCGGCGGCGGC